GACGACCTGCTCCGCCTACTGCCCCCGCGACCCGACCCCGGATGGATGGATGGATGGATATTTACAAAAGCACAGTTTAATAAAAAAAATAAAAAAAAACAGAAATAATCTGCAGACTTTAACTGTCAAAATTACAAAATAAAACTGCAAAACTTCAGCATCAAGCCTCAGGATGTAAAAACACAAAACATGATCATAAAAAAGATCTTTACCTCATTTTATATAGATGTACTCAGTTCTGGTTTGTGACCAACAGAACTCCAAGTTTCATCATTTTATTCAGGAATTAACAATAAAAAACATCAAACTCACCGTCGCCACCTGGAGGTTTATAGGGTTAGGGTTAGAGACCACCAATAGACATATTTAAACCAGTAAAAGACCAGTTTAGACTGTTGATACCCATTTAGTCTGTTAGAAACCATTCAGACCATCAGATCCTCCACCGTCACAATGCACTATCTCATTAGCCTGTTTAATACCACGTTGGGCCATTTGAAGACCAGTTTGGACCGTCATGAACCATTGTAGTCCATTAAACCAGTTTAACTGGTAATGTTGCCGAAGGCAGCACATTATTTGGAGTTCTGAATGGTTTTATCTCCATAGAGCTGAAGCAGCAGTGGACTGGTTTGGTTCAGATTTCACTTTCCTGAAGGTCCCTATAGGTCTCGGTTCTGCTGCTCTGCCCGCTGTCCTTCCATAGTCGGTATATTTTGTTGTTTAACGGGAGGCTGATGGAGGAGACAGAACGTTTCACGGCGGCTCTGAAGGCCAGCTTCCTCGCCGTGAAGAGGATGAAGATCTGAAATNGTCTTTGTGTTGGTTTTGTGCGTCTTTGTGTTGGTTTTGTGTGTCTTTGTGTTGGTTTTGTGTAACTTTGTGCTGTTTTTGTGTAACTTTGTGTTGGTTTTGTGTGTCTTTGTTTGTCTTTATGCTGGTTTTGTGCGTCTTGGTGTTGGTTTTGTGTGTCTTTGTGCTGGTTTTGTGCGTCTTGGTGTTGGTTTTGTGTGTCTGTTGCCGTCCTCTTGGGGACTTTGTGGATCATCAGCAGTCAATCTGAGCTCTTTTCCATTCACGGCTTTTGTTGTGTTGAACCTCAGGAACCATCAGAATCTGAGTGTTGGATTGTTGTCGACCTTTAAAGCAGAGTTAACTGGTTGTGCGTCGCCAGTGTGTAGCTGTGGCGCCCTCCAGTGGCTCCCCAACGCAGCTACATTCACTGTTTGAAATGACGTGACCCTCACAACTGCTGCACATCTGACCATTTCAGAACCAGTTTAGACCAATTCAACCAGTGTTTTCCCATCAACGACCCTCTGGACCATTCAGACACCATTTCAGACAGTTCAGACACTTTAGACTCATAAAAGCATACAAAGAGACTAAAGATCCAATTTTTCACTAATCAAGGGACGAAAAAGGGACTGAAACACGATTTAAAACAATAATTATGACTGTAGACCAATAAAATATCAGTTCAGACTTAAGTTAGCCAGATAAATGTGGATATAAAAACACTCTAAGCCACTGAAAACCAGTTTAGAGACCAGTTTAGAGCATTTAGAGACCAGTTTAGAGACCAGCTTAGAGACCAGTTTAGAGACCAGTTTAGAGACCAGTTTAGAGACCAGTTTAGAGACCAGTTTAGAGCATTTAGAGACCAGTTTAGAGACCAGTTTAGAGACCAGTTTAGAGACCAGTTTAGAGACCAGTTTAGAGACCAGTTTAGAGCATTTAGAGACCAGTTTAGAGACCAGTTTAGAGCATTTAGAGACCAGTTTAGAGACCAGTTTAGAGCATTTAGAGACCAGTTTAGAGCATTTAGAGACCAGTTTAGAGCATTTAGAGCATTTAGAGACCAGGCAATATACCAGTCTTAGACTAAAGATGACCAGTAACAAGCAATGAAGATCATTTAAAAAGACTTAAACTGGACTGAGGACCATATTTTTAACAACAATGATCACTTTCCACCATTAAAGATCAGTTTTAGATTATAGATGACCAGTAAAGAACATATGAGGCCACTAAAACCCATTGAGGGCATTACGAGACCTCTTCTTAAATGAGACCAGCTGAACCCTTTAGATGTCAAGTAAACACCAGTTATGCACAAGTCTCAGCCTGATGTCTGCCAAGACAATAAAGAGTCTGTTGTCACGTATCAGTTTTATTGGTGACCAGTTCGAAGCAGGTTCTGCCGTTAAAACCCAGATTCAGAGAGAAACACAAAAAAAAGAGCTTAAATAAAGACATGAACCACAGTAACAGCACATTTTATTCAAACATCTACCAGCGATACTGACTCCTAACGGTTAATGTCATCGTAGCGGAGGGATGTCAGTATGTACAGTAACACA